TGTTGACACACCCGAACACACACACGCACACACGACACACACGACACACAGGGCACGCGATGGGAATGGTCATCGTACGATGGCGTAGGAGTAGACGTCCGCCTTTTCGCTGTAGGCTTCCCCTCGGTAGACCTCGGGCGCCTGGGCCTTGTGTGAGCATCATGTGTACATTGACCAGGCACGCAGGCCTCACAGGCGGGAAATGAGTCTCTAGTCTGGGCGAACGCACCATGAACGCCAACGCGCCACAGCCCTGCGTGAACACCCCATTCTCCTCCTTGAATCGGCTCAGCCCAAAATCTGTGTGTAGTCGAACGAACTGGGTGAGGCAAAAAGGCGAGTATCAAGTGAGGTAAGGGGCGGCGACGACTTCTGTACCAGCTATCTTTGCCCGTAGAAAGCGATCAAGGAGAATATTCTTGGACGTCAGGTCGCGATGGAGGGTCGGCGGGTCGGACATGTGGAGATAACACATTCCTGTACCCGGGCGGGCGATGAGTGTGCGTGCGTGCGTGCGTGCGTGCGTTGTCGTGGGTTGCTTGGCGCGACATGTGCGTACCCTTGGCGATGTCACGCGCGATTCGCACTCGAAGAAGTGGATCCTTGAAGAGCGTGGCCTCGTTGCGGAGGAGGTCGTGTAGGGAGCCTGCGCATGCGCTCACCGTGAGGGCCGGTTGCAGCACAGAAAACAGGGACGGGGCGCAACGCAACCTTTTTCCATCAACTCGGTCACGATACATCGCTGCCGCTTTTCCTTAAACTGGCACACGCCCAGGAACCTGATTGTACACCGACAGGAGCCTGTGGTGAGACCCCCCGATAGTCCAGATGTGGAGAAATAGTGATCGGTTGGTGTGGCGTGGCGTGGCGTGGCGTGGCGTGGCGTGGCGTGGCGTGGTACGTACTGGATGACATGTGGATGGTGAAGCGAGCGTAGCATGCGCACTTCCTTGTCGAAGAGCTGTTCATCCGACTTGCTCCGAAAGAGCTCGCGGTAGATGATCTTTGCCGCCACGGGCGTACCTCGCCATCGACCTTTTTTGAGGCGGGCGTGTCGATTGTGTGGCTGTGAGTGTGGGCATGCGGACCCCCGGGGCTAGTGGCGCAGCGGCAGCGTACCCTTCTTGACCTCGCCGAAGAACCCTTTGCCCAAGACCCGGTCGGAGAGTTGAAGGTCGCGCGGGTCGATCACCCATTCGCCCGCCATCTGGTCAAACCCGGTGGTGGTGACGGCCGTGCTGGTCTTGGCCTCAACGGCCGCAGCAGCGCTGCGCGGCGACAGCGCTTCGTTGGGCTTTGGTGGCGGTGACTTTAACTTAGTCCCCTGCTGCGCTCGCAATCGGGCCTCGAAGTAGCCGTAGTCGTCGCTGGAGCCCTCTGTGATTTCCTCCCACCCGTCCTCGATGTCGTCCGATTGCTCTTCATCGTCGACAAACACTTCGATGGCCTCGAAGTCACCGTCGCTGCCCACCACCGATCGCATTCTATCACCACTCCTACCACCACTCGCGCCGCCGCTTCCGCTGCTGTTCTCCTGCTTTCGCCGGCCTCGGTCGGAGTAGGTGGGCAGGGCCTCACTGGACTTGGCCACGCCGGCGTGTCGTCTGTCAACCGGCTCCGTGTCGGCACGCTTGACCTGTTGTTCAGGGTTGGGCGCCAGCAGGTCTCTGTCCCGCCCGCCCGATCGTTCCAGGTGATCGGACAGGCTCTTGCTGCGGTGGGGGAACGCGTTCGGGGTGGTGCGCCCCCCGCGGCCGCCGCTCTGCTTGTTGTTGGTCTCTTCGCCCTCGCCGTCGCGGGACGGCGCGCCGCGATGCAGCTTGCGATCAACGCGCTGTCGAAGGCGTGCACCGATGCGATAGCGAATGCTGTCCTCGGGGCTGCCGTTGCCGCTTTCGCTCTCGGTGCGCTCGCGTCGTGTGTGGGTCGAGCCGCTGTTGCTGCTGGTGGCAAGCGTGTGCGGTGGGAAGGACTGCTTGGCCCACGAGAATGAGGGCGAGCGACTGAAATCGGCCGACGACGACGAAGGCGAAGACGCCGAGGAAGTGGAGGATGAGGAAGTGGGAGAGAGGGGCGACGAGGGCTGCGGCAGGATCTCGAACAGGTGGTCGGTGAAGCAGTAGCCCACGCGTGATGCCATGGCCACGTTCTTTTGGATGGCATCGTGCGATACTGGACATGCGTACGGAATGCGCTTGTCAAGCCTGACCTCAAAGCGAACCAGAACAGAGCAGAGCAAAAACCCAACCGAAGAGCAAGGAGGACGCACCGGTGACGATTTTGTCGTCCTCCGAGATGACGAAGGTGCCGTGCGTTGTTCGGATGCCAAAGTAGATGTGCTCCGGCTCCAGGAGGTCGGAGCGGTAGCCCTCCAGCTTGAATTCCTCGCGAGCGCTCTTCCTGCTGCTGCTCGCTGGCGTGACGGCAGAGAGGTTGCCGTTGCTCTCGGCGACCCAGTACCTGGAGCGAACGCGTGAGTGAGTCGGGTGACCAATCGAAATTGCAATCTCTCCAACTGACGCGGTACCGATTGTACTGTGAGCGGAAGCTGCAGTGCGTGGTGCCGACTTCAAGGATGAAGCTGTCTCCCCTGGCGGGAATCCCCGGGCGGAAGCGCTGCGCAATGAGGCTGTGGTTTCGTTCGGCCGACACGTAGTGGCCGTTGTTGACTTGAATGTAGGCCTGTGGTAGGATTGAATCAAAGCGTGCCTTGCATTCCGGGCGATCGCCGCGACAACGGCCCCAGGCTGAGGTACCTTGAGGCGTATTTGAAAGAGCTCGGAGGACCCGGCCGCCGTTGCGGAGCAGACAAGCTTCTCGCCCCCGGATTCGAGCCCGATGTAGGTGCCGTGCGCGCTGCGAAAGGCGACGAGTTCGTTCCTGCTCTCGACATCGAACAGCTCGTGTGGACCTGTGAGGCGCCCAAAAGGAAAGAAAGGCGACTCCGATGAGTGCACGATAAGAGCCATAGCGATCACACACACGCGCGCGCGCGCAGAGAGCGATGAAGAGGCAACACGATCAAGGTGCATCAGGAGCATCGGATGAAGAGGAAAAATGGGATACCGGGCGAGGACGTGTTGCAATCGGAGAGTAGCTGCCCGTCTTCGTGGCTGAGACGAAGCAGCGGTTGGAGAGATTAAGCAGGGCTACCTGGCCGCCTTCCCAAACGGGCTTAAACTCCTGCGGCGATGGAAGGTGAGCGTGCAGACAAGCGAGTGACCGCCAGAGTAGTCGACATGCCGCAGGCGTGCCGTACCTCGCCCAAATGGCCCTCGAAGGCGTAGGGACTTCGCGCCTTGAAGATGCCGTGCCTTCTGTTCTTGAGGTTGTGCGACATGCGCACAGCATGCTCGTTGCATGCCCTCAAAGAGACCTGGCCATGTAAGACAAATGAAAATAAAATAAAATGATTAATCTATATATGAACAGATCGGCAGAAATAGAATTACCGATAATCATGTAGACAAAAAAATAATATGATTTGCGAGAACGGAAGGCAGCGAATTTGGTCAGCGCATGGATGCGAGGAGAGCGCTACCTTTGGGAAGTGATGCAAGAACCAAATGTTAAAATCATTGATCTCAACTGGTTCTAACGTGCCCTCATAGCCCCCGCTAGGCGCCTCCATCTAACACGGGTGCCGCCCACCAACCTCCGTTTTCCAATGCCGCGTGTATGTATCCTCTTGCCCTCCTCCGCGTCGTCCTGTGTGCGTCTGGTCCAGGCACAACACGCAAACACGCAAGCCAACTTTTTGCCTTGTTCGTGAGAAATTTCCCCGCCGATAGGCCTTCGCTCAGGAATTCTAGAAATGTTGTCGAAGGACATTCGTGCGTATTTGAAATTTTTGAAAAATGTACAAAGCGCCCGTGGAGCGTGTGGTGAGGAAGAAGACCCTTCCAAGAAGGCAAACGAAGCCACTGCAGCTCACTTCTGACTGCAGAGCTTGATCTCTGCGCACACGAGGTGCGGGTTGGCGTACGACCTGGGCACCACAACACACCACAACAGGTCAGAGAGGAAGGTAAGAGCTGTGGGTGTCGTTTCGTCACGAACCTGAGGAACATGTAGATGGCGGCGAGATACTGGTCCACCATGGTGGTGCACTGCTGCGAGTCGGGGAGGAGGGAGCATAGGGCGTCGAGTCCCTCCTGGATCTCCTGCTCGGTGTGGTTGGCGTAGAGGTAGCCCTGCACGAAGCCGGTCACCGTCTCGCAGAGCGTGCACTCGTCAGTCGCGGCCGAACGGGGAATGTAGAGCACGGCGGCGTCGCCTGACGCGACGACGTCATCCACAGGACACACGCCAACAGACGAGCAGGCGGCAGCTGCACAAGCCAAAGCACCTTGTCAGATGATTGTGGCGAAGTGTGGTTGAATTCTGCGCATCATTCGGGCAAGATCCTCAGATGGTGAGCTGCAGTACCTGGGTTCTCGGTGTCGATGAGGTACTGGACGAGGAAGGGCACGTAGGAAGAGACGAAGCCCCTGCAGGCGGCAGCCATCTCGCGCGGTGCCAGACCGCACATGGCGCTGCACACGGTTACGATGTCGGCCACTGACTGCTTCTGGCCCACCAAGTCCTCCACGTAGCCCACCAAGAAGCGACACATATCGCAAGGCGAGTATGCGCCCCCTTGCATCTTGCCCTCCTGCTTCGCCCACGCGGTGGTGCAGCAAATCGCGAGGATAATCATCAGCAATCCGTACGCAAGCTTGGCCATTTTTTGTTCAGCTTCTTGCTCGCTGCTGATGTGGTGAATGATGTTTGTTGATCTGTTTCTGATTATTGTTGTCGATGAGATTCCAACTGCGCAAGAAACGGCATTTCCTTTTTCCCCTCGACGGCCAGAGCTACAAATTGTCGTTTTGTGAGGATAGGTCGTGTACGCCGCGTTTCGCGTCTAGCGGCACTGCGGCGGGTCCGCCCCGCCCGCGCCATAATCAAACAGCGCGAGGCAGGGCTCGTAGCGACAGAGGTCTACGTATCTGTTCGCTGGATTGGCACCTTGCGCTGTTTTATTTGTTTTATTTTGGAGGCATCCGCAATGCTCGGAATTCTGAGCAGGCCAACGAGCGCGGGAAAGGAGAACGCGCGAAAGGAGAACGCTCGTGAGTTTGCGCTGATCTCGGTGTAGTCCGATTCACAATCAAACTCGTTCAAAAGCCGCACGATGTCTCAGGAAAAGAAGGGAAGCAGCAAGCGGAAGAGGCCCGAGACTGAATCCTCAGAGGACGAGGGGGAGGAAGTGGGCAGGGAGGACGAGCTGGAGCTGGAGGATCCTACATCTCCCATCGATGCCACCGGCCTGGCGTTACCACCGACAGCAGACATACTGGAAGTACCTGGGGTACGTGAATGAGCCTTTGTGCCTGTTTACTGTTTCCGCGTAGCAGCATCTCAAAATTTGTTTCAATTACAGAACAAGCGATCCCTGGATGATCTCCTTCGGGAGCTGCTGAAATCAGCTGGGGTCGATGACCAATTCGACGCGATGGCGAGAGGCCAGCAACCGCTCTTCACAGCTCCTGTAATGGTTCCCACGATGGCAGACTTCGCGGGGATTGCTGCTGCGATCGCAGCCCTGCCCGGGGCTGTGGCAGCCGTCGTGCCCGGGGCTGTAGCAGCAGCCATGGCCCCCGTTGCTGCGCGCGTCGACAACATTCGAATCCGCTCCTACAACAAGCGCCAGCGGACCATCCACCAAGCCCATGGGGTGCCCAGCCCATGTCGCTGCCTTTTGAAGGTTTGATTCCCTTCTTCAGTCTTCCACTGCGTTGTTATGTGTTAACTTGCTGTGGCGTAGGTTCAAGCTGGCAATGGGGCAGGTTTGCCAGGCATGCCTGCCCTCCCAGCTGGAGGCCCTGCATCACTAGCCGTGGCAGCTGCAGTAGCAGCTGCTCCCCTGGCTGTCGGAGCCGTACCCCCGGCTGGAGCGTTTCCAGCAACCGATGCCACTGTTGGTGGGATGGGCCATGCTGAGCTCCACATCCTCAGCATCATCTACAACGAAACCTTCGACGTCCTTGCTGGCGACAATCTTGGCCAGAGGAGGGACAAGTTCGGAGCTGGATGTGTGAATAAGAACCCAACAGAAGCATCTTCAATAAACATGTAGTGTTTGTACAGTTCAACTTTTATTTTGTTTCCACACAGCAATGGGGTTGGAGGTCTGGCAGAGTCACAAGACACTTTTGTGGGCTCATCATGCGTCATACACAAGAGAGCGGAACAGCTCCTTCTCGTACTCTCGCAACTGAACCAAGAAGCCTGCATTTCACAAAATGGTGAGTCTGCATCAGAGCACAGGGCCATGCCAGTGATAAAACGCGTACCAGGGTTGGGGTAGATGGCTGGACGGGCGTTGCGAAGCATGTCCATGGCGCTGTCACAAGAAATCTTCAAGTGATGCATCAAAAATGCTGTAACGATCGTCGCGCTTCGCGAAATGCCCGCCACACTGCACAGGCGAAGAGGAAGAGTGAGCGAGGCGCAACAGCAACTCTTGACATTGGGGAAAGACCATAGGGAACGCTACCAATGTACAAGCGCTCCTCTTCCCTCTGCCAGCGCTTCAGCGATTCGTTCATTGCAGGTCGCGAAGTATCGAGAGAGGTCCTGTTGATCAACAGACTATCAGGTTAGCGCGACCAAAGACGCAGGAATTCGAGGTGCTGTGCGTACCGATGTGGGGTGGTCCGATATCCTGTAGGTGAGATAGTCAAACTGGTCCGGGAAGTGTTGCTCGCTCTCCACGACCAACTGCACGATGACTTTGATCTTTCGGTGGAGCAGTGCCGGCAAGTGGGCAGCGCTCTCAGTGCCACCGATGTAGAGGCCGGGAATGACTTCATCAGGGAGCGATTTCCTGATGGCGGCTGGGTAAGTGTTTGTTGGCCGACTCAACACGAAAGGGCACGCATGTACCTGTAATACTGCAGGGTGGGTAGTCGCTTCATATCGTCCAGCGCCTGGGGTACATCAACCAACTTGTTTCGGCCCACGTCAAGTTCCTGTGTGTGCTCCACATGAGGCGGATGAGCATCGTATCGAGGCCCCGTATGGGGTGAAGCGACATGTGGAATGCGTTCACTCACGCACCTGCAACTGTGTAAGATTGACGATTTCATCGGGTAACCGCTCCATCTTGTTGTCGTGTGCGTAGAGCCGCAGTAGCGAAGTGAAGGAGCCGCTGTACCACGTACACGAGCTGTGTGAGACACGCTTAAGATGACCAAAGGGCATAGGCTCTGCGTACATAGATGAAGGCAAGCTCAGCAACTGATTGTGCTCTAATCGGAGCGTTTCGAGCCGCGTCAATCGTTCTATGAGAAAGTCAGCGTCATGGCCATGCTCTCAGAGAACCAGAAGGAAGATTGGATTGCCGTACCTGAGAGTCCGATCTGCTTGAGCTTGTTGCACGATAGATCAAGCACGCACAGTGATGGGATCTCCAGCGTCTCCGTGAGAACATCGTCGATCCGATTCTTCCGCAGGTCCAGCACTTCGAGCGACGTCAGCACCGACAGAGCGGGCGGCAGCGAGGTGAGCGCGTTGTCCTTGAGGTTCATGTGGACGAGGCTGCTCGCGAGGTTGGCGTAGAAGTGGGGTTCGGCGGGGAGCACAGAGATGCGGTTGCCCGACAGGTCGAGGTGCGTCAGGCTGCGAAAGGCAACGAACGAGGCCGGGATGGCCTTCAGCGCGTTGTCGCTGCAGAAGAGCTGTGTGAGGTTCGGGCAGTGCAGCGGCAGCGTCGCCGGCAGACTCTTCAGTCCGTTGCAGTCGATGTGCAGCGTGGAGAGGGAGGAAGGCGGCAACAGCAGCGTCGGTGCGCGGTCGCCATCGGCTGCCGCAGTCGTGCTGTTGTCGTCGTCCCTGTGAGGCGGGGCGGGCAGCTCGGAAAGGCAATTGTACGACAGCTTGAGCTCGGCGAGCCCAGCCGGAAGCACGCCCCAAAAGTCTGCCGGCCTGTTGAACACGTACGAAGATCGATGAGGGAGCAGGCCCCACAAAGGATGCACAACTTGCATCAAATTTCCTCAATCTGCGTCGTTCAATTTCGGCGAGATTGAGAGCTGGCTACGTACAGATGTTGAAGGCCGTTGCCTGAAAGGTCGAGCCGAAGAAGACCGGTCCAGTAGCGGAGATGAGAGATGGACTCGGAATCTTTACCCTGCAGCTTGTTGAGCGAGAGATTCAACTCGCGTATGGCTCCTACCACCCTCTTCATCCGTTCTTCGTCTATCTTCTGGTCCTTCGCCTCCGGCCCGTCGGCCGAAGATGCCATCAGCAAATCCTCCTCTGCAAAGGCAAGCCGTCGCAGCTTGTTGGCCGACAGGTCGAGCGCGTGCAGGTCGTGAGCAAGACGAAGAACGTCCAGGGGCACCGCCGTCAGCTGACACTTGGCCAGCGAGAGCGTGGGGTCCCGTTCTCGTGTGTTCGCCTCCAGCAGCGCGACCGCCTCCGGCCTGCGCTTGCTCATCTTGTCCTTAGATTCGCGAACGTTCTCACGTTCAAGTGGGTGCAATAGTGTAGTGGTCGTTACTCCCACCTGGAGCACGCTAAGTAACCATGTCGTTGCCTGGTAGAAACCTCCCTTCTTTGGGAAAGCACGAGCCCGCACAGCGATTGGGCGAACTGGAAGACTCGCCTCCGAGATTTCATTGAACATCATAAAATAACAATGAACTTTACTTAAACTTAAAAGAATGCAAAGTATGTCCTGCAAAAACGCCGAGAGGCAACGCCTTCATCTTTGGAATCAAGATGAATTGCACGGCAGAGGGAGTGGACGTGGCCCGGAGAAAGAAGGGCAGCAAGGGGGCTGTGAAGTCCGTTCTGGGGAGTGCAACGTTTGTGAGTGGCCAAAGCGAACAGGCCACCTGCGGCCTGTTGGCACTCACCGACGCCCTCCTGCTGTCGGCGCTCCTCCCCCTCCTCCCGCCGGTAGCCCTCCTGCGCCTGGGCGCCACCTGCCAGCGGCTCCGTTCACTGACCAGCCACGACACGTACCTAGTCCTGTCAACCACCACACGTACCGCATTGTAGCACCACTCATCGTTGGCGCAAGTGCAGTGTATGGGCAGCGCACTATCGCTCGGCCCGCGGCAAGGCAAAGAGCAATCACGCCGGCAGCGCGCCGCTGATGAAGGCCTGGCGCGAGTGGGTCGCCGTGGGCCTGGAGTGGGAGTATCCGGGTCTCGTCCATGGTACCCACCACCACCACCATCAGTACTACAGGCAGCGCCTGGCCCACACCTCGGCCCGGGAATGGAGCTCAAGTCCCGCCCACCGCGCCGCGCGAAAGGAGCTGGCGCGGGCCATGCGCAAGCACCAGGCCCCACAGCACGACTACAGCTTGAAGGTCGTGGTGGCTGGCGACTGGCGGGTGGGCAAGGTACACTACGCTACGCTACGCTTATCTATCATCGTAGCGATCTCACACTCTCCGTGCGCGCATGCGCCGTGCTGTGTAGAGTTCGCTTCTGCACAGATTTTGCGTACGCACACAGAGCTCCACCCTAGGGTGGCCAGAGAACAGAGAGCAGAGTGCGATCTGACGTGTGTTCATCTGATGTGTGCATTGCTTGTGCTGCGGGTGACAGGACCGACGCCATGCGCCACCCTACGAAGAGCACCCCGACTTCGTACCGAGCCCGCTTCACCTGTTCGCTGCTGCAGCCGCCGCCGCCGCCGCCGTTCTGACACCCAGACATGCGCAATAGGAATACAGGGTCGTGGGATGGAAGGGCGACATACTCAGCTTGCAAGTGGTACTCCTTTCTTTTCTTTTCTGTTTTTCTTTCTTTTTTTATGTGCTGTTCTGGTAGTAGCTCTGATGGGCGCGACCACCGTGGCAGTGGGAGAATCCGATCACCGGCTTCAAGACGGTCGGGTCGAGCCCCTTTCGTGATTGCGACGCGGTGATCGTTTGCTTCGACGCCACCGCCGAACGCTCCTTCGACAGTGCCAAGGCCCTGGTGCAGGAGGTACATCACCGACTAGTCACGTTTGTGTGTGGTGCGCCCCTCCGGTGCTCATCTCTGGTGAAGATCAAACGGTACACGTACGACCGGGTGCTGGGTCGCATGCTGGTCGGCACCAAGTGGGACAAGCGGAAGAAGCGAGCAGTTCCACGAGAGCTCCCAAAGGTACGCATCTCAGTTCATCTCATAAAATCGTCACTCTCGCCAAACTCAACATTCCACACACACACCACACGCAACACACACGAACGCAGGCCTTCGCAATGGAGGAGGGAATTCCGTTCGCGTGGACAAGCGCGAAGAAGGGGACGGGCGTGGAGGAGGCCTTCCGACTGCTCGTCGGCGAGATGTACGCCCGAGGTGTCATCCTCCACAAGGCACGCAACAAAAAACCGAAATGAAGGACATTAGGTGTTAATGAATATTGATGTGTTGTGAAATGATGAAAACGTGATATCACGTTGGTGAGTGAGAATGGCGCTCTGGTCGACTGGCATGGCTCGATCAAAACAGGACCGGAAACGTGGTCGTCAGCCGGATGTCGTTGCTTGATGAGCCCACCATCACCGTGAACTGGCCCGGCTCCACCACCCATTTGAATTGCCTGCCGTGCGCTCATGGTATTAGAAGAGCAGCCGGCCAGCCAGCGAACAGCTGTGGTGTGGTACCTGTTGTAGATGACCAAGTCCTTGGTGACGTCGAGGCTGAAGGTGACCGTCGTCGACTGGCCGGGCTGCAGGCCGACGCGCTGGAAACCCTTGAGCGATCGAAGAGGCGTGGTGACGCTGCTCACCTCATCCCGCACATACATCTGCACCACCTGTTACGCCAACCATAGACCCACCACGTCAGCCTTTGTCCCTACGCTCTAATGATTGGGGGTGACCCAGAGGGTGGGAGGGAAATACCTCCTCGCCGGCCATCTTGCCCACATTTTCCACGTTCAGCGTGATGGTCATCACAGTGCTGGGCAGAATCACGATGGGCGAGATCGCCAGGTTGCTATCTGCGCGGTGTGATGGCCCGTCAGCACACTGTGTGCGCCTGCTCTCTCTCTCTCTCTTTGTGTGTGTGTGTGTGCGCGCGCGCGCGAGGTAGCAGGCCACTCTTTTCTACGTACAGGCAAACTGGGTATACGACAGCCCGTGCCCGAAGTGATACAGCGGAGTGCTGGACAAGTTTAGGAGTGACCGATTTAGCGCGGTCTGGGCTTGGGCTGCCACACGCGTGCGTGTGTGGAGGGATTGACGCGTACCTGCTGGTGCCATCGGCGTAAATGGCTGTCTGGTTCTTACGCGCGCTGGGCTTGTAGTTGTAGAACATTGGCAGCTGGCCCGAGCTCTGCGGGAAGGTGACCGGGATGCGGCCCGCAGGGTTGTAGTCGCCAAACAGCACGTCGGCGATCGCCTGGCCCTGGGCCTGCCCGGGGTAGAACCCGGTGATGATGGCGTCGGCGTTGTCGTTCAGCCAATTCACGCTCAGGGGCCGCCCGTGCAGAAGGACGGCTATGAAGGGCTTGTTGGGCGCGGCCGCGCGTATGGCCTCGAGCAGCTCCTGCTGCGAGCCGGGCAGGTCCAGCGTCGGCCTGTCAAACGTCTAGGGGCAGATAGTGTGTGGCCATGCTCAACGTTAGCGCACACGCACACGCACACGCACACGCACACGCACACGCACACGCACACGCACACGCACACGCACACGCACACGCACACGCACACGCACACGCACACTCGATGGAAGTCATGAATGTACCTCGCCACAGGTGCGAGTGTCCTCGCCCACAACTGCGATGATGATGTCGGCAGCGGCGGCGGCCTTGACGGCGAGATTCTGGCCGACTTGAGTGCCGCCGATGAGGCTCCACTGAAGGCACATGTACGAACCCTCGTTGGGGCGCACAAACTCCAACACAACGGCATACTTGGCACCCGCCTGGCTCCAGCATTGCAGAGAGTGCGAGTGAGCAGCGCAGCTACTGAAGCTAGGGTAGGGCTTTGCAATACGGTACCGCGAACGTGAATGGAACGTTCCTGGTTGAATTGGGGTTGGCGAACGTGTCCACCAGGACTTGGCCGTTCAATGTAAGCCTGAGCGCACGCGGAACGTGTGGCGTAATTTGATGAGGAATGTCAACAATCTACCGCACCCCAGGTGTAAAAAGGTTGCGGGGGAGGAGATACCGGGCGGAGCC